GTCACAAGGAAATTCATAACCAATTTATTCATGTCTTCTTTCCTAATCTTTATGTCGTTGAGCTTCTTCTCCCACTCTTCCCTTGTGATAACTTTCTTTGACGTGGCCTGAGAAAAAAAACGTAAAGCCAGCGGCACGTTATGGGGAGAAAATAACTATAACAAACTATAAACCAATCCTGAAAAAAGTATCTAAAGTGACATTCTAAAGCATCAATCCAACTCCAAAACCTCAAGCCTACGTTCAGTGATGAACTCTAAATTCACTACCTTAAAGAACAGTAAACTATAATCAATAACGTTGTTTAATTATACAATCAAGAATGTGAGTTTGAAGTCATCTACCATTGCTTCGTTCTCTGCAAATTGGCGAATCACAATCCAGAACAATGACATCAGTGCACCGCCTTCAAATCCATCGATTTCACACAAATGAAATCTTCAAACTCACCTTTAGAAGACACCTGAAATAAAAGAGAAAAAAAGAAAGCCGATTATTGTCATCATAATTACACTATTACAAACATTAGATAAGAGAAAATATATTGCTCATTCTAAGTACTAAATCTCAAGCTCCCAATTCTTTTGCTAAAAACAAAAATAGAAAGATACAGAACAAATCCGATTAAGGAATTAGACCCTAATTCTAGTAAATTCAGAGAAACAAAGAAAAAGAGTAGTTGAAAGGATGAATTACTCGAGGTTTCAATCAAGATTCTTTGCTGCTCGCAGTGGATAGCAATCCCTTCTATCGAAGTTATAAATGGTGTTCCGGCGATCCCTCATCGCAGGCGGTCCGGAATTGAATTTCTTCGAGTTGACGGATCCGGGTCTTGGGCTTAGCGGGTCTGATCCGGACTTTTCTTTTGGGTGACTGGTTTCGGATCCCATTTCTGCCGCTTTATTCAACCAGGCCCACACCCAACTGATATTAGTCCCCTAAAACTAAAACTAATAAAAGAATGTAAAGAATAGAAGGAAATTTTGTAATAATTTTTATTTCCAATTTTCACCCACATCAGTTTTTTCTTCTTTAAATAAAAAAGTTCAAAATTACTTAACAAGGAAAAAAAAAATCAATTTTTACCCTTGAAGTTGTATCCATTTTTACTGTAAATTTTCAATTTCATTTAATTGAATCATATAACTTAGATAAGTATTACCATTTTTATCCTTTATTCAATTCCTGCCAATTCACTCACTAATTTTAACCTAAAATAATGTCAAAATTAATTAGTAAAAATCAAGCTTTGTCAAGATTAAGTTTGATTAATATTCAAAATTGATTATTAAATAAGTCTTTTAAAACTTAAAAATGTTAACAAATAAACTAATCTTAATGTTGTTTTGTGTAGATTCATATCAATTTCATACTAAATGTTTTATAAAATTTAAAGTTTAAGGTGAAGATTGTAACAATTATCAAGGTTTAGGGTGCAATTTGATGAAATTGAAAGTTTAAAAGTTTAAGATATTTTGGGCAAAGTTTAAGCTTTTAATATTACAAATTTGGTCTCTATGGTTTGGACAAACTTTGGATTTGGTCTATATGATTTTAAAAGTTTGAATTTAGTTTTCATAGTTTGAGGTCATCTTTAATTTGATCATTATGATTTTAAATGTTTCAATTTGATCCATATGATTTAAGCTTAATTTCATTTTGGTTTTTATAGTTGAGTTAAATCTAGTCATTTCAATATTGAGTTTACCACTCAAAAAACCCACCTATTTTCTTTTATATATTTTTGTACTCAACCCTAAACTCTAATATACTCGAATTACCAAAATATAACACTCCTACATGAAAGGAAAAAAACATTATCAATAGGATAATGATAGAGATGATTTGTGAAGTTTTACTAAATCATAGGGATCAAATTGAAACTTTTGAAATCGATAGGGACTAAATTCAAATATAATGGTCAACTTGAAAATAAACTCAAATCATATAGACTAAATTAAAACTTTTAAAATCATAGAAACCAAAATCTACCTCTGCCCAAATCATAGGAACTTAATCTAAGAAGAAAAAAAGTTAATTTTTTTTAATCCTAAGAACCAAAGTTGTAATTTAATCTTACCCTTGTGCTTTTATTTTTTTAATTCAATGGTTCCTAATTTAATCTTACCCTTATGCTTTTATTTTTTTAATTCAAAGACTTAACTTCATGGTTTATGCTTTTATTTTTTTAATTCAAAGACTTAACTTCATGGTTGTATAGGGGCCTGAACCTTGGCAAAATTTTATTGCAAGTTAAACAAAAACTTATCGGTAAAATCATCTTTTTACCCTTAAATATAGCAAGTTGATCAATTTTCACTACTTTCAATTTTCAATTTGAGCCAGAGTTACAATTTTTTCTCTCTATTCAATTTCCGCTCGTCTTGAGCATCAAAGATGAACAAGAATTCATTGTTTAAGGCGGGTCCTTTTTCGTAACTAGGAAAATTAGGGAGGGAGAAAATTAAAACATTTGTAAGAAAACAACGAAGTTATGCATCTATGCTCCCGTTCGCATGGAAATGTTGAGCTGAAGTAAAAAAAAACAAAAATTGATTATACAAACTCAGAGAGAATATTTTAAGAATCCCCAAGTAATTTAAGGTGTAAATCATCATATCGGTAATATTGACATCGTTGGAATTTTTTCTCCAGAACAAACCCATGGAAAAATGCATATTAGACAATCGAACCCATTGTACAATAGAAGAGAAAATCTGGTTTCATCTGAATCAGAAGCCAACAACTTTAAGTTCAATGAGCAATCAGAGCTTTCATCTTCTCCATGAATAATGTAATAATCAAATCCAACCCAAAACTCCCAGCAGAACAAGAGCCATGGATATTCATTCACAACCCAAAAAACTTAAATAAACAACCAAACAATTTGGATACATTCTCCAATTCGATCTCCTTCACTTTCTCCTGCATCTTCCATTAAACCAAGCAAGAATGTCATTTCGAACAGTTTCCACATTCTCATCAGTCTCCCCAAACAACATAGAATGCATCATGCCCTCGTAAATTTTGATCGTCTTGTCCTCGCTCTTCGCCTCTTCATACAGAGCCTTACTCACACTCGGGTCCGTAACAACATCCGCATTTCCATGGAGGACGATGAATGGAAGCCTCACATCGCTCAGTCTCTGGCTCAAATGCTCCGTCACTCTAAGAAGCTCCAACACGGT